TACGTACGAGCGCGACGACGAGAGAGAGAGAGAGAGAGAGAGAGAGGGGGAGATCTTATCGCGGAACGATATTCACAATGGCCCTCTCTGTGCCAAAATTTTCTACCGTTTTCAGTATCGCTGCTAAAATGTCAGCGAAACGCGAATAACCAATCTTGTCCAACAAACCGTGGCTGTAATTATTCTGATCCGATCTCGACGATTCGATAGCCGCATGATTAAATCTCATATACTGAAAACATATTCATTTTTCGGCATACAAATATTTTATTACAAATCGTATTTATGGTGAACATTACGAATTTTTTAATGCGCAAGTTTGATAGATTCGTAATTCTTTTTCTTTGAATTTTAAGAAATAATCATCGAAAATTAAGAATCATGGAATATCAACGAATTGGATCAATAATAATTGGAACGTTTTGAAAATGATTATGAAAATATTTAAATGATAGAAATTTGTATCGTTTATACCTTTTTCGCGTGCAATGTATCGTATAAAGTGATAAATATATTAACATTTTTCCGAGCGCGAAATGAGGGAAATTGGGTGAGGAACATGGTCGAGAAAATATCACTTTAAAGTTCGACCCGAGTGGTTCAATTTTTTAAGAACGGGGCTGCCTCAAAAAGCTTTGCAAGTGACTGCGTCATAATCCACTTAATCCATCCGTGCAATCTATGCGAATCTGTGCCGGATTTAAAAACGTAGAAATCCGCGTGTTGCGCGGCACGGCGATTACGGTCCGTAGTTTGCAAAAATCATCACGCTCTGCGAAAGGATAAAAAGTTTAATGCGCGCCTCTGTAGAAATTACGTAACGTAGTAAAAAAAAAAAAAAAAGAAAAAGAAAGAAAGAATGAAAAAAAGAAAGAAAGAAGGGAAGAGGAAAAAGAGAAAAAAAATGGAGAGGGAATACTACGAAATTCCAGCGTTACACTACACCTATTTTTATCATGTCACTTTCACGTAAAATATTTTCCGTAGAAAATGGAATTACGGAATCAAGTATGATGACGAAAAATAAAATCGGACGAATTATAGATAAAAAGCGGAAGGAATTTTCTATTTGCCGTATATTATATACATTTGTACATGTAAATAATACGCATATATGGCGGAATATTGAACATCGTTAGCAGGACAAACGCATTTCTCTGACTTGCTGTCTGGCTTTGTGATTATCGAACGACCGGATAAACGGCCAATCACTTCGTTAAAATTATATAAAACGACGAGACCGTATGCCATTCACGGATATCCTGTCGTTCCCTGCGGTCGTATACATATACACACACGGGACACGATATCGATGTTAATTGGAGCGACGATTACATTTTAAATGAAACCTCGAGCGTATTTTTCCGGCGAATGAGCAAGTCGAATGGAAAGGCAAAGAGCATTGTGTCAAGTTAAAAACTGCTGTGCCGCTATTTGCCCGCGTAAACATTGTCGCCAAATAGAGTCAAGAGGCGGCCTTTTATTAAATGCCAGGTGAAAAAGGTTCTGTCCAACTGAGGGGGGGGGGGGAGGGGAGGAGTATATCTGTGCGGATGCGCGAATCAATCCTGCAACGTCGTATAACGTGGTATTTTTATCATTTATACAAACGATTAATAAGATACGATCAAGGAAAATAATAACGTAACAAAAAAGTGTATCGACGAGTACGGTTCTACGATTCTTGTCGAACATTTAACCGATTGATTGACAAGTGAAATTATTTATACGATCGATCGAATCGTTCGCGTTATTAACAACGACCCTTTGCCGTACTCACGGAATTGTCTGCAATTAATTATGCAATAGGTTATCAATGATACACCGTATCGGCTCTTCGGCGAATAGAATTTATTTGGCCTACATTTTGCGAATTATCATTCTTGCAGAAAATTTCGCATTTCGATGAGAATTTATTCATAAAATTTGAAATATCTCTGTGAAAAAAATATAAAAATAATGACGTATTGCTTGGAAAATAATCGTATAAATATCGATTATAAACACCGATATTAAACGATATAACATAATTTCAAGAATTTAATATTAAAAACTATCATCACTTATGTTAAAAAGTGAAAAAGAGAGAAGAAATGTGTCAGTGATTTCAATTTAAAAACAATTTCCACGCTTTTCATTTTAAGAGAATTACATTCGAAGCATCGTAATAGGATCCTGGAAACTCTTCCTATCACCAGATAAAATCGAGAGGGGATTTCGAAAATATTCGTAATTTTTTTTTCTCACGGATACAACGGAGATTTATGTGGAACAGTGTCCATGCAGGTGTAATTAAACGTCGAGACAGTGGCGTTGCACGATGAAACGTGTAGGCGCTCTCTGTCTTTGTCGAGTATGTAACAGAAACAGAGAGATAGATAGAGAGATAGAGAAGTGGGAGAGAGGAAGAGTGAGAGAGGGATGATAGAGGAAGGGGAGTTGAAGCTGGACAGGGTGGCCATAGAGAGAATCCAACGGAGCTTCGGCGTTGTAAACCATGATTGCGTGTAGATTACAGACCACTCGGTAATTGCTAGCAGCCATGCAAAACGCATGACAAAATGTTGCCAGCTAGCGCGAGATCGTGAAAATATATCCGACTCCAACCATTGTCCACATTTTCTTTATCGTTCACGGAAACAGTCGAAATAAATTTCGTTAATGTGGTTCTACGCGCGAAAGAAAATTATTCGTTAAGTTATTACGAAAAAAAAAATAGAAATAAAAATAAAAGAAAAATGTGAAAGAATTACAGATACACTGTGATATAATAAAATAAAAATCCACTTATCGCTATTATATTTGGAATGTTTGGATGATTAATAAGAACTCGGATAAAATTTTAAAAAATAAATGATAGATTTCAATTATTAACGAAATGGAAATGATTGAAATTAAATTCACCGTAAAACAGATAACAAACCTCGTCATATAAAAGAGTTTATAAGCAAATTAACGGTTCGATTAACGACCGAGTACTCAGTTAAAAAGGCCATTCCCCTAGTAGTGCGATCCAACATTTAGCCGACGGTGTATTTTAATTGGAAGAGGGCACGATGATGATAAGGGTAGGAAATAACTACGATGATGCATCCGTGCTAAATTGTATAATCCACAATGGAATAATGGAATTGCCTCAACAAAGATAGAAAGATCCAAGGAGGGAATATCTTTGCAAGAAAAGACGAATCTTGAAACTTGGAAACAATTCGAATATGATTGTATATCATCGAAAAAAAATCGAGCGATATCACGAAGAAGAAATTGGGACAGATTTCCTTTCCATTATCGTTTATAACGGATGAAATAAAAACCGAGAAAATTTCGTTAATTGGGAAATCGTATCGACTTTTAATAACTAATTAACTAAATATTACGAAAATAAACATTGAAATATTAATATCTATACGTTGTTATAAAAATAAAAAGTTCTCTTTAAATAATTATAAATATCTAAATAATTACAGATAAAAATATAAATTGCGTGTTATTTCGTTACTTTAGAAACATTAAGGGATAAAAGAAATAGAAAAAACATAGATGGAAAAAATAAAATGGAAAATATGTGAACTATATTTATATCTCTTTTTTCTGAATTTTCTTAACTTTCACGATGATTGTCGATTTATTATTGGATCTTGATTCCTAGAAACAACCAGAATACCGAGCTATTCGTCCTACTTGACCTATATATATTTGTAATGCATATAATGTGGAAATTATGACTTGTATGTTTTTCAAAAAAAAGTTGCTGCAAAACATAAGAATATACAAAATGCAAGTTTAAGGAAATAACTTTTGTTACATATTTTTTTTCACAAAGAGATAGAAATGAAACTGCATTTTAAAAAGCATAAAAAAAATAATAATACAATAATTGTTAATAATTATTTCGTTTATCTTTGTTAATTATTATTTTCTCGTATCTTAAATTGTAACGAAATCTAATATTTTTTACCAAAAATAATTCCTCTAAACAATTTAATTTAATAGATAAAAAAAATTTTTTTTCTTTTCTTCAACTCAGAGCCACTTCTGTAATTCCGATTGGTCAATTACGGATCAGTCTTGGCGAGTATAATCTAAAAGGACCGGAAGTTCCAGAATCGAAAGAAGAAAGAGTAGTGAACGCTATTCTGCACCCTGATCATAAGTGCGGAAAATACATGGACGATATCGCCCTTCTAGAACTTGCAAGGCCGATTATTTGGTCGGATAGCGTGAAACCTGCTTGTTACCTGTGGCCACAGGAAAACCAGGGTATAGCGCCTTCAACGGAGAACTCGCCAAGGCTGCTGGATGGGGGTGGTTCGGCGAAGACAGGTCCAAATGTAAGTAAATAATTCCATTTCATCCCCCACATCTTTCCTTTTACTCGGTAATTCGCTCGAGAAGAATTCAAGAAACCAAGAGTTATTATTGATATTAATTACTTGACATTTCATCAAATTAATGGGACAATATAAAATGAATCGCAATTTGGCGAGGAAATCGGTAGTTCTACTAGAATATTTTGAAACAAATTTCAAAGCAAATAATTTATTGATGTACGAAGTACAAATAATAAAAAGAAAATCAATTAGCTTGTGATAATGATATTGTAAAAAATGTATAAGTTGTATTGAAAAATTTTCTATTAAATTCGAGTAACTCTATTAAATTCGAGAAACAAGAATTCTATTAAATTCCATTAATTCTTATTATTCTAATAAAAATTTCTATTTACTGTCCTGAATTAAAGAGATTAACAATAAGATCAGATTAAACTTCGAGCAAAAACTGCTTATAGTAAAATTAAATTTTTATTCAATTTGAATGTTTCCGCATTAACAATAATTCAATAAAACAAAAAGTTTTTTAAATGAGAAGAATATATCGTCAATGATATTTTCATTGGTATTAAATTTTTTGGATATATAAAATAATATATAATGAATATAATTTATTTTAATTTTTAGTTTTATTTAATTTTAGTTTTATTTAATTTTTTCCTATATAATATAATGTGAATTATCTTTTAATAAAGTTTAATTTTAGTAGTTATAATTAATTTATTTAATTATTTAAATTTAATTTTTAAAATTTTAACATAATAAAATTATCAAGAAAATTATTGTAATTATTATTAAATTTTATTTATTTTTTATTACTATTTACTATTAAATAATCTATTGAAATAAGATTTTATTATACATATATAATTTTGATTCAAATTCAAAAAAAATTTTCTACTTTGATTGATTTAATCATTATAAATAATCATTTCTGTATATTAAAATTTTAAAATATGTATTTTTTAAAATATCTTTTAATATATCCTTTCTCATCTATGAATATATATATATATATATATATACACACACATATGAATCGTTCTTCAAATACAATATTGTGATTTATTCCATATATATTGTGATCTCTGTGACTTTTTTTCTAACAAATAGTTAAAATAATGATTAAAATAATAAATAATTAATTTTATGATATTATCCCAAATATTAAAAAATTATGAATCAAAAAATTATAAGTTATTTCTTTTTCTCAAAATTGATAAATATGTCCAAGATTAAAATTTATTTAAAATAATTACTTTATGATCAAATATTTCTATTTGATTTTATAGATAAACGTGCAGACATATTACAAAAAGTGGAAGTACGCGTGATCGAGAACAATATATGTCGTGAATGGTATGCCAGTCAAGGAAAATCAACCCGTGTAGAATCAAAGCAAATGTGTGCCGGCCATGAAGAAGGTGGTCGCGATTCTTGTTGGGTAAGTAAAATCTTCTCGTATCGTTTATCTAACTTATTTATACGTTTCACAAACATTTCTGTTCTTTTTTTCTATTAATCTTCTTTTCATTGATGCGGAACTAGTTTAACATATATTGTTCATTCGCATACAAAATTCATACCCTATTTCGATAAATATCCGGTTGCTTTGATGAGAAAACGCAGATTGAATTAACAACCAGAGATTAAATTTTTGGTCTTCGAACCGAATCATTCGACCACAAAATATTCAATAGAATGGCAAAAAAAAATTGATGAAGGATTAAAAATCTATCAAAAAATATGTTGATAAAATATTGCAGTTGATAAAATATGTTGATAAAATTTGCTATAATGTAATCATTAGAATTGACAATTGTGGAATATTCCATTCGATATATTTTATCACAAATTTATGATTTTATTCTCGAATCACTTGACGATTATTTTTTACTTTGAACAGTTTTGCATTGTTTTATTTGTTTCATTTCTATATATATTTTATATATTTTATGAAAAGTAAATCTGATAAAAATTAAAAAAATATAAGTAATATCAATTGTAACTTTTTAAAACTTTTATAAAAATTTTTATAAAAATATCAACATAATTGCATATCTGGTATTTTTTTTTAGGGCGATAGTGGTGGACCACTGATGATTGCAAGTCATCTTAATGGTAATGTAATGGTTGTAGGAATAGTTTCATCCGGAGTAGGATGTGCACGGCCACGACTTCCGGGCGTGTATACTCGAGTTTCAGAATATATATCTTGGATTACACAACATGTCTTATGATGAAATAAAATCTAAAATTTTGATATTTCATTTATTTTAATACTTTTCAAAAGGTTCATTTCACTTCATAAAATTTGAATTTATATAAATTTCGAGAAAAAATTTTTTTTATAAATATATTTAAAAAATCATAAGAAGAATTATAGGTCTAATGACAAAATTTTTTTTTCTTTTTTGTGAAAAATTTTAAAAACATAAAAACCAATTAATTCCAATATGTTTCAATTAATAATAAGTTACAACTTAATACGATGTAATGTAATAAAAAGCTAATTAAGAAATTAAGCAAGATAATCACAGTAAACTATAAGTAATTATAAAATTTTTCTATCTAGTCAGTATTTTCACTATTATATATGCTATATATATATATATATATATATCCTATATTTTTATACCATATGCTATATATTTTATCATAAACTAATTATAAGATAAATTATTATAATTTAATAATATAATTAATATATAATTATATTAAAAAAAAAAGATGTATTTTACATATAGTATAAATTAAAACTATTGAATATATCATATATTTTTATTACTTATATTCTTCTTTGTTTTCTTGGCCTTGGAGGATTCCATGATACTCTAGTATCATCTGTGATAGAAACAATATTTAATTCTGTTAGCTGCAAACCTTTTATAGCACCCTAAATAGAATATAAAAATAATTATTAATATATATGTATATATATATATATATATTAAAAAATTTGATTTATATTTTTTAATATCTACCATTCTGCCAGGTCCAATACCTTGTATTCTTAATTTGACTGTTTTGATACCATGATTAAGAACACGCTAAAATAATATAAACAAATAATATAACAATTTATAAAAATTTTGAATAAATATGTATTAAAAAATTTTCTTACTGTTCCAAATGTAATTGCAGCTTGTTGTGCCGCAATATTAGTACCTTTCTTTGTATTTTTAAAACCTTCAAATCCAGCAGAGTGTAACATCATTCCTAATCCTATAAAAATATTGCAAGGAAAAAAAAAATCATACAAATAATATTAATAAAACCATTATATATATGTTTACATTAATAATTACCTTTAAAATCAGTAAGAGACATTATTGTATTATTAGGAGATGATTTTATATTAATAACATGTAACTGATCATATTGTATACCATCAAAAAATTGATATGGTGTTGAAGCATCAGGAAATAATTTTCTAAAATCAACATTGTGTAAATAATTTAATAATATAACTATATATAATGTAATAAAACAATAAATGTCAGCAATAATATAAATCAATGTTATATAATTTGAATAAAATGTTTATAAATCAAAATTAAATACTTACGACTTACTTATATCAATAAGATCAATTGTTTTTTCTCCTTCCATAAGTACTTTTTTTGCTTTTATATCAGCTCTTATTTTGTTAGATCCACTTCGAAATTCTTTCATAATATTTGAGGTTAAATGAATATCTCGAACATTTATGAATTTCAAACATGGTAAAATAGTAAATTTTTCATTAAATAAAATCACATTTTTTGTTAAAGAACATGTTGCGGATTGTAAAATGAATGAAATCATTTTTTTATATAAAATATGTAAAATATACAAGATATATTATCTAAAAAAACAAAAAAAAAATTAAGAATAATTATTGAAATATAAATCCGAATTATTGAAATAGCATATAGTGCACTTTGCAATTAATTTTATAAATATAATCTCTCAAAACTAAGCTAAATCATAAATTTATTTTACATATAAATACAAGACGAAAATAAATTAGACAACAGATTGGCAAAATAATATAGGAACAAGAGAAATTCTTATATTCATATAGTTTCAGTCTCAATAATCTGATACTTACATGATAGTTTCGGGTCTGTAATATAACACATACGTGGTTTTAAAATTCAAATGTTTTTATACAATCGTTAATAGGAAAATCTTTGTTCATTTTATATTATATTGTAAAATGATCGAAATATTTAATATTTAAAATATTTTCTTTATAACATTATTATAATTATAATTAATATTATCTATAATATTTTATATAAAATAATTAATTTTACGTTAATGTAATGGCCATAAGTGCGTCTTTTCATCGTAATGTACTCTTATTAACTCAAGTGATTCAACCTAATAATGAATTTAAAAAATATTTTCGTGAGGTATATTTTTTCATTAAGTATTAAATAAAATATTAAATATGCTTGAAATATGTTTAAATATATTACATTACTTTTTGTAATTCTTGCATTAATTAAACAATATTCTAATTTTTAGGGTATGTTTGACAAACCCAATACAGCAGGTTTCCTACATATTTCATATTATTTATTAACAATATATGATTCAGAACGTTTTAAAAAGCTAATTGAATGGCCTGTAATTTGCAAGAAAACTGAAGCAAAGTATCGTAATAATGTTAAAGATTATTTAACAATTATATCTGCAGAAAATCCTGATATTGATTTTCCACCTATACTTACTTCTCACTTAATTCATGCAGGTGGAACTAAATTTACAATTATTATGTGGAAATTATCAGAAGTAGTTATAAGAAGATACCTTATAAGGGAAAGTAAGATATTTATTAATATAGAAATTATATTCATAATATATTATTTTTTATTTATTATTATCATAAAATTGATTTAAATTGTATTATTATATATTTACTATAAATTTCTTACATTTATATAAATATTTTGTTTTTTTACTAAAAGATTTTATTTTTTATAGCTTGTAATAATATTGCATTTGCACCACGAATAGGAAATAAAGGAAATTTAGCAAAAAAATTTTTAGAAGAAACTAATGCTAAGATTAATTTTAATATTTTGAATCAACATAAAAATTTATTAGAAATGGAGAATACAATTAAATATGTTTTGCAGTAATATTTATTTTCTTTTTATTTATATATATAATTAAAAATTTCTTTTCAATTAATTATATTACTTTATTTTTTAGGAAAGAAAATGAAAGGCTAAATAAAAGTAGAATAGAAATTTTTGAAAAAGAGCAATTAATAGCAAATCTTCCACAAGCAGCACCAGTACATCCTTCAATTAAAAAAATGTTTAAGAGATATAGATAATGAAGAAGCAACAAAAAGTTAGTATCATATTTAATCCATTTTCCTCATTATATATTTATGTATATTTATTATAGTTAATATTATATATTTACTTAATTAATATTATTATAGTTAATATTATTTATAATTTTAGTCATCAAAGTAATAATTTATTAATTTTAGAATGGAAAATGCATATAAATAAATGCATAAATCATATACAAAAGAGAAATGTAATTTTGAAAGATATTGAACAGCTTAGTCATAAAGTTAATAATATAATACTAAGTAATACTAGTGATATTAAAATGTTAATTATAAAAGAAAAAATAAATCATTTGGAAATTTCAGAATTATTTTCTCCAGATATACAAGTAAGTATTATAATGTTTATGTTATTACATATATTAATGAAAAGCAATAAAAATAAAAATATTTTATATTTCAGTGTCTTTTATTTCAATTATATAAAGATGATAAATTAATATTAAATAATTTTATTTTATTATTTCATTTTCTTCTAACTCAATTAAAAAAACGATTAAAATTGAATATATTAGAGGATTTTTCAGAATATTCACTACAAATAAAAGGTAGTTGTAAAGATATAAAAGCTGCATTCAATATAATGCAAACACATTTAATAGATATCACAAAAATAATGTTAGAAACACAAGATATTTTATATAAAAAAAAAATACATGTTCATAATGATACTATATTACCTATGATGCATAATGTACTTATTATGTCATCTCCTCTTATTAAAATTAATACAAACTGTAACGATGAAGAAAATAATTTTCAGAAAAGATTACAATTAACTCCAGTAGAAGGTAACATTAATGTTATTTGAAATTGTTATATATATATA